AAGGGCTGTGGGGTAGGGGCAGATGAAAGCCTGGACATACAAGTGAAGTGTTGAAAATCCACAGGCACAAAATGGTTTCCTGCTTCATATAAGAATGTGAAGAATAGCAAATTAGAGGTTCAAATAGGGTGAGAAACAGACCCGTGCAACGAGCAGCCTAATCTGCTTTACACAGGAAGATGTAGATCCAAACAAACCCCAAAGCTGCACAGCAAATCCCTCACACAAAAACTTACACTCCAGTGTTTGGACATTTAAACAGCTGTCACTCTTCAGGGCTGCTGTTTCACCACGTCATACAACGGTTACGTCAAAAATATAAAATACAAATATAAAAACACGTGCTGGCTAGTCACAGGAGCACGCTCAGTGAGAGACTGAGATTACCCATAATGCACCACAGAATGACACAGCAAATCATCTCAGTATTCTTGATATTTATTTATAATCACCTCTGTTAGTCCTTGATATTTATTATTGAGTGATCTGTAAATATTAGTGCGATTTCTTACATTTGAAAATTCTGTAACATATTGCATTGTTTAAATAGTTCGTCTGTTACTGTCCTGGAGCAACTGTAACCCACATAATGTGCTTAGAGATTAATAAAGTATTCTGATCCTGGTTCACTGAAGTTCACTGAGAGACAACAGTTCCCACTTAGACTGAGGTGGAGCTGTCTGTCAGCGGCAGAGCTAAAAACTAACTGAGGGCAGTCTTGATGCTCAATCATCCAGGCAAGAAAGCCCACAAAGGTTGATTCTGTTCATCTGGACGTGGAGCTTTCAGACTGCAGAGAGCTGAGGAACCATTCCCCAGCTCTCTGTGATCACTGGTCATGACAGTTATACAATTATTGCATATTATGATCAGGAACCTCACAGCCACTGCTGCTGGTTTCAGTCATTGCTTATAAGGCTGGAAACCTGCAGTCAGCTGGGACTGAAGAAGTCAGCTGATGAGTGACGAACGTTACTCCAGATGAACAGAATCAACTTTGTGGGTAAATGAAGGTTAAAACAGTTTAGCAGACACAGCTGTGGTGTCGAGCTCAAGTTACTGCACTCACAAACCTCGTGTCCACTCTGTGCTTTATGCTTAAAGAACATCAGCTATGCTGATTATTTTGTGACTGTATGCTTTCCAGGATGTAGATAATGTTTCCATGGAGCAGACGTTCAGCACAACAAGCTGCTCGGTCAAAGTCTAAACTCTACACAATAGCACACAAAGTCTTTGCAGTAGGGCTGCTCGATTATGGCAAAAATGATAATCACGATTATTTTTACTGAAATTGAGATCTCGATTATTTGACGATATTTATTTAACCCTTTAAGACCTACTATAGAACCAAGTCCTCCAGAGCTTATATTATTTTTTTACATGCTGTAGTGCCATTTGTGGGAGCATTTCAAGTTGCTATGCAACTGTTATAGCCCATATTTTACTAATATGTATGCATTAAGTCCATAGTAACTACATTAATTGCAAAAAAGTGCAATAAACTACAAAAAAATTGAAAATCATTTTTGTTTTTTACATATATTTCTACTTGGAGAAATTTAAGAGGCTTATCCCTCAAAACTTTAAATACAGAAAAGTTGCAAAAAATAGTTTACACCAACAGGAAATTTATTTTGAGTGTCTTCATAGTTTTATTTTGGAGATACAGCAATTTTTATATACTGCAGAAAAAACAAAAAAAACAATCCTTTGATGCAAATTTGCAAAGAAAACAGCAGGTGCATCAAAACAAACTATTTCCAGCAGTGCAGTTCGAGTTCTAAGCATCCCAGCAACTATTCAGAAAAGTCAAACATGACCAGTATAGGCTTTTAAGGCCTACAAGTAAAAAACTACAATTTCCGCGAAAATGACGTCACTTCCGGTTTCGGGCAGGAAATGGCGGACATGCGATCGTTCGCGCTGACGTCTGCTTCACTGTGGGAAGTGTTACGAACAGCTGATCGGCAAAGCGTGTTTCTGGAATATTATGTTTTTGTTCCTGCAAGCGCTTTTTATGCAATTTTTGCAAAGCTATATGTGGAAGGAAACCGTGACCGAGGACAAGCTGATGGCATCAGATGTAAGTACAACTCCTCCGGTTTCATATGCAAAACAAATTATTGCGCTAGCTTACACGGTTCAGGTTCTACAGGGATTTAAAAATAGTTACACAAAACGGAGCGTGCTGCTCTGACCGGCTTTAAAGGGTTAACAATGACTTTAAAAATAATATAAAATAGTGTGCAACACCACTGAAGTTTGTTTTACCTCTCTTTTCAACCAACGGCAGTCACTCTCCAAATAACTTCTGCTTAGCTTTCCGAGCTTCCCTCGGGTCCTCTTAATCAGCGGTCTCCAACCTTTTTTGCGCCACGGACGGTTTATGCCCGACAATATTTTCACGGACCGGCCTTTAAGGTGTCGCGGATAAATGAGGGAGGGGCTAATAATCGGCTCAGTCATTTTTAATGATCGTTGAAAGCCCAGATCGTAATCGTGATTAAAATTCGATTAATTGAGCAGCCCTACTTTGCAGTACAAATTTAGTCACATCCAGATGTTACTGGTCTGACAATGAGACTCAGAAAAGAAAGAAGCACATGACTGAGGCGGACACACAGCTCCGCCGCTCACTAACAGCTCCTTCATGTTCATGTTAGGAGGAATTTAAACGTGTCCGTAGAGCTTCAGTTTCATCAACACTGAAGTATTAAACAGTTTTGTCCAAGATAAGCAATGACCTGAGAGCCTCCATCGTTTATCATTAACACAGTGGCTGTAAAATACTGAACCAAGGCAAAGTGGATTACAGACACACAGAGAACCAGATGTGCAGAGCAGAACCAGATGTGCAGAGCAGTGGGTGCACCACAGCTGAGTCCAGAGCATGAGATAAAGTGAACAGCAGACCAACAGGACGGGCTTCAGGCCTGCACAGCACAGCTGAGGATGCAGAGCTGCAGGCTGATGTGTCGTCTGGTTGTAACCAGCTGCACGGCTGACAGTGACGTTTCATATTTTAACTTTCTTAACTCTTGTTCTACAATAATGAAAATATGTGCATGTTAGGTACTGTGCTGTTTGCTCACCCATTCATTTATTAGTAGGTTGTAAAATGTATCACCACGATCGATGGTGAAAATGAACAAGTTGACTAAGAAAGGACTTCTTCACCAACACTGGTGTAGCTGCAGAGGTAAACATCTTCCCTGTGATACAGCCGAGTTTGAAATTCTACTGTGGTGACGACCCTGAGGCAAATATGAAGAGGCGCAGCAGCACGCAGTGATCATTCAGCTGCTGACAGAAGAAACAGCTGATGGCAGTCACTGCTTTTACACTCATCCTGCTTTTCCCGAGGAACACTTTGCTTTTGTTCCTTAAACTGTGAATATAACTTCATCAATATCTCTAAATACCTTTGTATTGATGCAACACTTTTCCTTCTCTTGGCTTCAGAATAGACAGCTGATGGCTAACAGCACGGCAACAAGTGCACCCCTGCCACACTGAACACACCAGCACATCATCTGCATCACCGCTGAGCTCAGGTTTCATTTCCACTCTTTGTTTTCATCATCGTTAAATCACAGAATTCCAAAAATATACGTTTGATTTGACAAAGTGAATATTTACAGCCATTTTCACACCTACAGTGTGTTTACTGTGGTCATGTTCACGATATGAAGGAACAGCACTGGAGTTAAACTGGAGCCGACACTACGTCTCCAAAGGGTGTTTGTGTCTGCACTCAACGAAGAGGAAGAACAGACCACACAGCCCTGGTGTGAACACGCGTATTCATTATACTAATCATTTAGATGATTTCACTGCAGAATCTACTAAAAAACAAACACCAGCAAACGTGCACTGAATGCATCGTTTCTTTGGCACCACAGTCAAAGATGTGTTCAAATACCCGTGGACAGAGAGGGACTGAAATGTCCTCGACCTGTGACCAAAGAGAGCAGCAACACAACGAAAACCTTACAACAACAAACACAATCAAACCTTGAAATCCGTTTGACACCTACAGCTAAAGCTCCGTGAGTTCACAGCTCATATCCAAGCACACACCAGCAGCCCCAGTAAGAGCCTTGATATGGGCAAAGGATCAAAGCAGTTATCAGGAAAATTATGGATACAAGTGAAAGACAAAAGGGTCCACATCCTGTTACCTGGTGAATTTACTGTAACACTGTTGCTATCATTTTCTAATAGTTCTAATCAGTGTCCCAGGTCACACGGTGGGAAAAACAAACCCTAGTCAGGCACTGGCAACACTGGTACATCTCTCCTTATGGTCTTAACTGTGTGCACATTAGGCTCCTAATATTTCCAGGTCTTTATTGCCACTGAAGGTCAAAATGTACAAGTCTGAAATGTGCAGAGGTAAAGGCCAAGTATGGTTTAACAGCCAGGACATGATAACTCCAGTGCTGCTGAAGGTCAGCGTGATAGAATCAATAGATGTTGCACAACAATAAACATAACAGTGGGAGAGGTCAAACTTCACAGAAATGCAGTGATGAAAGCATCACAACAGTCTGTCAGGTTTATAATCAAGCGTATGGATGACCTCCAAGCCTGCTACGAGCTGAGCACCGTGCAGGACGACATGACAGCAGATGGTGCTTTAGAGGTGGGGTTCGTACTAGATGGTCTAGGGCAGGATGACGCATGTCCTATTCCTGAGTGTTTGCAAAGCCAAGTTACCATAACAACCAGTGTAGACGCTGTAGCACTGGTGAATCTGTACAAACAATCTGATTGGTCCACATGAAGAAACAGTGCAGACAGATATTAAATATGACAGAGGCACTGCTTTCTGATGATGTGAAGATGTGTGAGGATAAAAACAACCCTGAAACACCAACTTCAGTCAACACTTCTGCATAAAATGAGTTCCTTACTTTCCAGTGACTTCTATTAATGCGCATGTTATATATTGACCTAACCTTCAGGGTCAATACGAACAGACCAGTGGTACAGACCTCGTTCTGCAGCTCATCGTTGCTCCTGTGTGAGGCCAGCATTTCAAACAGAGACGTGCACAGCTCCTCTGGGTTGGATGACATCATGTTGCCTCCACACAGATATTTATCTACTTCTGTTCTAAGGATGGAGCCATCCCCCGGGGTCAGGGGGCTTCCTGTACTGGATGGAGCCTCTTCACTGATGCCCTTCTTGCCGCTCTTTTGGTTGTTGAAAAAGTTGATGAAATCCAAGCTGGCACTCTCTTCCTGGATACCGGAGAAGGGCAGCCCCTCCAGTGGGTCGAGTGTGTAACCGTCATGTGAGAAAGCAATGTTGCGCCCAAAAGCGGCGCTTCGGTCCAGGTTGCGGCAGGAGCGTTGGCTCTGGATAAAGTCTTCAACTCGGGAGTCACCGAGCAAAGCCACCAGTCGACCCACAGAGGCGCAGGACGCTTCAGCTGCCGATGATGGAAAGGGACCGAACATGTGTTTGATGGCCCGAGTCTCCTCTGTACCAACGTGGTCTTTGTTGTGGAAGGTTTCAAACAGGAACACGGCTGCGCTTTCACCCACCGCCTGACCGAGTTCAGAAGCCACTGTGGAACAAGCACATGCACACCACAGTTAGCACTGCAGCGTTATGCACAGAATTTACAGTTAGGTCCACACATGTTTGAACAAACACACACTTTGGTCATTTTATATTTGCAAGAACCAAGAGTTTGTAAAGGCATCGAACTCTGACTGCAACCCAAAATAGGTTTCCAGACTCGAGACGAACTGAAGGTAGAGACACCTGTAAACATCCAACAACTGAAGGCAACTGCAGCAAAGGCGTGGCTGAGCTTCTCGTGGAAGCAAACACTGCACCTGGCTGTAGACGCTCCCAACTGCAACAAACCTGCACATCCAACTATTCAAAGCACAGCTGCCAGTTCTACCCTCAGCCTCCTGCCTGAGTTATGACACTGACAAATGGTAAATATCCTGTATTTCTGTAGCGCTTTTACTAGTCCTTTACACGTCCAGTCATCCACCCAGTCACACACCCAGTCACACACCCAGTCACACACTGGTGATGGCAGCTACATTGTAGCCACAGCCACCCTGGGGCGCACTGACAGAGGTGAGGCTGCCGGACACTGGCGCCACCGGGCCCTCTGACCACCACCAGTAGGCAACGGGTGAAGTGTCTTGCCCAAGGACACGACGACCGAGACTGTCCAAGCCGGGGCTCGAACCGGCTACCTTCCGATTACAAGACGAACACACAACTCTTGAGCCACGATCGCCCAAGATTGTGGCACGACTAGATTTTCAAAAACCCCGACCCGAGGGTTGAAGTCACTGAGATTCGAACTCATCAAAGCTGCCCCGTTCTCGAGTCATTGCATTCACAGACTTGGGTGTCCACGCTGCACTGCAATCAAATCAACTGTTCGAGTATACAGAAGTAAAACTCTAAAAGTGTGTCACTGTCCAGAAACCCATGGATGTTCCTGTACCCGCCCCAGAGAAACACCAAACTCTACCTTCTACATGAACTCTGTTATAATGTCAAGTCATAAAAAGCCAATAATGCCAGGAAAGAAGGACGCAGTCACTAATCAATCGACTCATTTAAATGCATGATGTTGTTCAGCAGTCACATACTGCCAGCAGTATCAGTCGACTGGCTTCAGCTGTTAGCATGACCGGAGCTTCTGTCAGTAACGTCCACGTGAGGTTTATAACCCACAGGATTCATTAAACACTAGCTGCCCTGTGAGGAACGGACCTGGTTTCCTTTTCTTCCTTGAAACCCAGTGTGGCCCAAACACTGGCAGAAAGGAGAATTTCCATCTTAAGGGAAAATGGATGTAATGATTATCATTTTAATGATGACGATTATTAGGATTGCTGCAACAATCACCTTTACCCTTTCTATTACCATTAGCTGTGCCTAGACAGCAGCACTGCTTTATATGGCCATTAAATCTGTGCACAGCACTATTAATAGTGCTAGAAAGAGTCGGCAGCTCTAAGCAGGAAAGGCCAAACACGAGCTAACTGTTCCTGCACCTCATTTAAATATTATTCCAAACAATTCATACTTTAGCAGAACTGCACTTAAAAAAAAAAAGAAATGCAGCATAATTGTCCAATTAGAGGAAAAAATGTCAAAAGGACAGAGGCAGACTAGAGCAAAGAAGGCTGGAGAGGCAAAGTGAAAACAGATGAAAAGGATTTAAACCAATTAAAACGGCCTAAAAAAAGCAGCAGCTCGTGGTTGCACGTTACAAACACAATGGCTGCTTTCATCCTCGAGAGCATCCTAAGAACAACTTTTCATTTGGATCTAGTCACACAGTTTGAGGGCAGCTCCAACACACAAACGAGCACACACACTGTTAGTCTGGCTGGTGAACGGTGAGCAGCCAATCAGATCCTCGCAGGGTTTCCTCAGAGCTCAGTAACACATGGACAGTCTTTAACTCTGCCATCAAACATGCTGTTTGGTTTGAGCTGCTCTGTGTTTGAACCTTCACATGGAAGACGTGTGAACAGTACAATAACCACATGATCACGTTAACAGCTGATAGAGTACAGCCATTAAAACTACCTGCAAAATCTTCCATGTTGCTTTTGTAGAGAATTCCCCCAAATATAACCTACCAACACTGCATGATGTCATTTTGGCCCCGCCCTTCTTTATTCAGGGTTTTAATGAGTATAAACAGAAACAGGCATTCTGAGGTTTTCATGAACGCTTCTCCAGCTTCACACAAACACGAGTTACAGCTGAGGTGTGCCTCCTTACCCATCTGTTTGGCTGCCAGGAGCAGGCTCTTCAGCTCCTGACTGGCAGCTTGCTGCTGACTTTTGTCCTGATGCTCGGTGCAGAAATGGACAATCTTCTGCCACGTCAGGCCCTCTCTGGCAAACAGCTCCTGTCTCTTCAGACGCTTGGCCTAATGAGTCACAGAGAGAGATGCAATTACACTTCAAGAAGAGCAGCACTCACTGCTCTGATCACAAGTATCTGGAAATGACCACCTTTGGTTAACAGCACTTAGCCTGTGCATTACTAACAACACTGTATTTCTAAAGTATTTCTATTATATTTCACTGAGCATATGAGAGCCTATACTATTAATTACACAGGCCCAGTTTACTGACTGTGGGCAGGGTTCATCAACAGAGACTGAATCATGGGTCCACTCCCACGGTTCACTGTTTGAACCTTTGTCAGTACGAGGTCGACTCACCTAAAGGACACTGTGAGTGATATGGAACAGCTCTGTTTGTTTTCATGCTTACTGATCAGTAGGGCTGCCACGATTAGTC